TCCCCTGGTCGAAATAACTGTCAAATAGAAGATTTAAGGACAGTATTACCTTGCGAAACAACGATACTTCAGCGGGATTTTGCAGTCAATAGGAAATGCCCGAATCCGATGCGATATCTCTGTTGGCAAACATGCAAGTGCGAGGAGGTATCTGTTCGGCCAGTCCTGTAGAGTTATGAGCACTGGGGTGTGCGCGTAGCCGATTAGCGACAGCCATCGTTGCCTAAGAACCATCTCTCTGATGAAAGTCACTGGTTTGGTTTTGAAAAGGGCGGACACATTCGCTGCGACAGCACGACGAGTGTGTTCCAATTCATATAGTAAAGACGCCTGAGGTGCTTCAGGTTCGTTCTTCGTCGTTCACCCAATTGTTGTTGCAAACCCGGAGTTGCCGAAATATTCAGAAACCAGTTAAACACGATAAGTAAAGGCGTGAGGGTAACTGTACAGCGCCCAGTATTCAGTCTCTGATGAGTTCTCCAGACCCGTCAGCTGCTATTTTCACGCTCGTTCCCAATCACTGTGAACCTAAACCTGGGATTTAGTAGAGGAATAGTGAGGTGGGCGCTACGAAGGTTCCTATCAATATTGACAAGTTCACGTTACATTGCTGTAGACAGTTGTGGTTCTTTTTGTGACGGACGGAAATGCAACATTGTAGATCGTTGCACTAAGACAGCAAAACCGGGATTATGGAGGCCAGGCACGCTGTTACTGCTTGCAAAACCCTCTATGGCTAAAAAAGAATCGGCTCATTGAGATGCTTTCATAATCCTTTGCAAAATTTGCCTTGAAAAATCTCAGATGCCAGCGTCTGGGACGGTTGAAAATGTTTAATTAACTTTAATTTTTACTTTTATTCAAACGATTCTGATGTATGCAAGCATTTAGCTAACAGGTTTCACTCAGTTCAACAAAAGGTGATATCTGCCTTGACTGCTGGCAGAGTGGGACGAGTGAGTTCCGCTAGCGATCAGTGAACATTAATAAACGAGTGTCAATATCTCCCAGTTTAAACCAGCAAGACGACGAGCCCGTGGCTCAATGGTTTGAGTGTTAGGCTTCTGATCACAAGGCCTCGATTTTGAGCCTAGAGTGGGGCACCACTTTGGGTTGGGTATGACTGGCTGATGACGGCTAATGAGCCACCAATGGCCATTCCTGTTAGGATATTAGACGGACCAAACGCTAGCAACGTTTGGAGGCTTTCCTAAGGCGGCGAGCCTAGCTAAATGTCTTTGTTGGTTAGCTCTGACCGCACAACAGGCGATGACTGTCCACGCGAAATGACCTTAGAC